ATTAGAATAGAAATAGAATAGAGAGTGCAAATGTTAGAGGGTCAAGTTTTTTAATTAAAAAAAACAAGCAGATAAAATTAGAAGTAGCAATAGAATAGAGAGTGCTGGAGTTAGAGGGTCAAATGAAGATGAAAGAGATGTGATTTCAGTCGTTTCTTGAAAATATTAAGGACTCATCTGCTTGGATTGAGCTGGGCAGGTCATTCCACCAGGAGGGAACAGTTAATGTAGAAGTCCATGAAAGTTTTATCATAGGTAGAATGCAAAATGTTTCAATACAAGCATTTCAGTCAAATGTAATTTATGCAATATTTCAAACCTTTAACCCACTTGGGAAAATCAACCCATGGCAACAGTTTAAAAGTAGCCCAATACTGTGGAAATACTTGTCAACCCTATATCCAACAAGAGCTACCGAGAATAAGGAGAGATGACTGACAAGACCATGCTGGAGTATACGCTCAACAGATTCTGAGCTCATTGACAAATATCTGATCTTTGTAAGATGTGCTCCCTTTACACAGAGTGCATGTGATCGGGAAATCGAAAGTGAAACTAAACGGTGCAAACGCTCATTCAAAAATATTTAAATACACCGCATCCTGAGAGCGGCTCCCTGATGCGCCAAAATTATACACAATATTAGAATGCTTAAAGGAGTGGACACGAAAATCGAGGGAGTGAAACATGTTGCGGGAGCAGGCGGCAATGGTCAGAGATTCAGTGGGAGTGGGATAAACAAAACAGCCGAATCCCGGACATTTTGGGCAATGAAGAAATCCGCATTTTTGTAGGTCCAAAAAGAGGACATGTCCGGGGAAAAGAGGACGTATGGTCACCCTAATTTATTGCTAATCGATGTATTCTTTTTAAAGTAGCATATAGAACATATTTTCTGCCTCATTCTGTGACAAGAAGCCTCATCAGATCACAAAAGGAAGCATTTGACTGGTGTTGTGGAGTAAAAAGGTTCTAATGTTCTCTTTTGTTGGACAACAGGTTTAGAAATGTGAATACAAGGGAGGTTTAGCTTTAGGCATTTTAATTTAAGCATGTTTAGTTAACGGGAGGCTACCTGCTGCCATCAGAGCAAGTGTAATTACTGCATTCACACACTCCTCGGATGCTCTCATTTCCCGAGTTGTGCTTTTAAGTCGGAATGTGAAAACAACATAGACACTCTCGTTACTACAAAGATGTGTTGGATTTGTATTATTAGAGCTTTCCCACTTGCTTCTTATGTCCGTTTCGGAGAACCAGAGGACAAATCTTTCAATCGATCGCTCAGGCATGGCACCGAAATCTGCGTTCGGATTCGGTTCTAGTACATACCGGTTACATAGGTACCGGTGCCATATTGGTACCGGGTTTCGGTACCCAACCCTACCATACAGTGGCATGCTGGGAAAAAACAACACAAATAGCTGTAGTGGTAACATCAGCTGGGCAGCCCAAGGTGGTTTTCTTGTGTAATTAGTTTGACAGCAGCCCATCATTACTAGTCTATCTCTGTTATATCTGTTATGTTACACAGTCAGCAAATGCTCTGATTCGTACTCCAACCGCAGTCCTGTCTCGTTTCATCCTAGCCTTTAATAGGAGTGAGAGGACAGGAAGTGAAATATTGGCGAGAAAGAGACGAAACGGAGATGTTCATAATAGCAAATAATTTTCTACATTTTTAATAAGATATTTATTTTATTTTATTTTAGAGGAGAATAGTAAGTGTTTTTTAAATTTTATTATACAGTTTTATAGGATATTTTTCCATGAAGTGAAATTTTACTTTATAGAATAGTAATTTTATTTTATTTTTTCTAAGTTTTTATATACTTTTTTCCCCATAAGTGAAATTTATAAATTTATTTATTTATTTTTGTTTCATTTGATAGAATTGCAAGTATTTTTAAATTTTATTCTACATTTTTATTATATTTAATAGAATATTTATTTTCCTGAAGTGAAATTTGATTTAATAGTTAATTCTTTTATTACTTTATATGAAAACATATTTTATTTAATAAATAAACAAACAAACAAATAAACAATTTATAAATGAAATAACAATCAAATAAAATGTAACTTCTGGAAAAATATTCTATAAAATTATATTTTTTTACAAAATGGCTATTCTCCCATGAAATTAAATTTCACTTCATGGAAAAAAATTCCTATAAAATGTAGGAAAAAACAAACAAACAATTGCTATTCTCCTATAAAATAAAATTAACAATTAAAAAAAAATCCTCTTCAGGGAAAAATGATCCTTTAAAAATGTAGAATAAATGAATTTTTTTTTAATGTTTTTAAGTTTATTCTACATTTTTAAAGGATAATTTTTCCCTGAAGTGTAATTGTTTATTTTATTTTATGACAGAATATCAAATATCTTTTTTTAAAGGACTGTTTTGGCTGAAGGGAAGTTTTAATTTATTGTTATTCATTTAATTAATTAATTAATTAATTTTACATTTTCTTATAGTTACAGGATATTTTTATCCATGAAGTGAAAGTTTTTTTTAAAAATGTTTTTGTTTTATCTTAGTGCCCTTAATGTAATAATAGTAATGTGTGGAACAGTGCATAGCACTCTATTTCTGCAGTATATAGTATGTTTACAGTGCTTAGTGTGCATGGAATACCCAAAAGGCAAAATGTTTATTGTTGTGTAATAAGTACTGTTTCATATTCTATTTAAAGAAACAGTAGGAGGTGTTTAGTTTAAACTGTGCAGTTTGCAGTATACTGTCCCTGAGTTTCTCATCAAAAAATGAGGAACAGACCTTGTCACAACCTCTTATGTCAAGGCCGGTGCCCCAGGATGTGAATTGTGGTGTCAGCATGATGTGGTTTGGGCCTTTGACGTGGCATGACCGATGCTAGTCAGCACTAATGTCAGGGATTTCTTTACCAGAAGACCTTTAGAGGCATCTGGGTTATTGTTTAGCACTAGTGTAGTTGCCATGGTTTAGCTTTAGCTAATAATAGACACATTATACTATAAGAAAATGGCATAATATAGAAGATATAATTACATTGTGCAGAAATAATAGCCATTGTTGCATATTGATGGCTCATTGTGTCTTCACTGCTAGGAACGTTTGTTTCCCGTCTGTTCTGTATTTTGCATCTGACTTCCTTTAATAATAGAATCGTTTTTCGTCATATTTTATAAAAGTCTTGTTATGGAAAGGAATCCCGTGCTAAACAGGAATTTGTTAATCTGTGAAACATCAGTTGTAAACTGGTTTAGACTAAACCATGTGCTTAATGAATAAAAGTAAATAAACATGTATGGGGCTGCATGATACATTGACATAAAATTGATATTGCGGTATGGTTGTGATTTGAAATAAGTAAATATGTGCAATACTGGTTTCAGAGTGAAGTTAGGCACTGTTCACATTATTTTTATTAAGCATTTCATTTTTTTATTTTACATTGCAAGAATATTACAGTTTTTTTATATTGTAATTTAATAATAATCAATATAAAATAATCATTTTTATTATTTCATAGTCCTATTGAATTGGTCCAAAAAATGGTTTCAGAGTGAAGTGCGGCACTGTTCATTTACGTGTTATTTTTATTAAATATTTGAATTGTTAACATTTGACAGTACACGTATATTTAAAGATTTATTTTATACTTTAAATAATAATCACAATAAAACATTTATTTTTTTATTTTTTTATTTTTATTTTGTATTCCTATTAAATTGGTCATAAACAATAATAACAAAAAAAACTTTCCAAAATTGTTCAGCCCTAAAAGTATGGTTCACACTCCCAAAAATTCCTTAGAGTAAAAAATAACTTTTTAGCTTTTTTGTTGTTATTTTTATGTTCCATGCAGATGCATTTCCCAACAAAATCACCCACTCATTCTAGGATGATTAATTCTTTCCAAATATAGCTATTCAAGTCATCTGGTAAAAAAAAATCCTGTGTTTTTCATATTGCAATATATATAGTTTGCAATGTCAGTTTTTTTCCAATATCATGCAGCCCTAATATTTGTCCGATCATAGAACGCCATGATGACATTCGAGGAGGAAAAAATGCAGATGGCCAGCGACGATCTGAGAACTACTGAAAAGCTTTGCGAGAGCGACAACGCCGGCGTCATCGAGACCATCCGCAACAAAATCAAGAAGAGCGTGAGTTTGTTTGCATGAGTGTGAGGCAGCAGGACGGACTGAATCTGTTGGCCAGATTCTTCACATTAACATCTTGGTTTTTAACTTCGCCACAGATGGACTCGCAGAGATCGGGAGTGGAGATTGTGGATCGTCTTCAGAGACAGATCATCGTGGCTGACTGCCAGGTTTATCTCGCCGTGCTGTCGTTCGTCAAACAGGAACTCTCAGGTGGGTTCCACATGTTTACATTACAAAAATGCTGAATCGTGGAAAAAACAGCTTTGAACGTAATCCGAATGCCACTGTGTTGAGGGGGAGTAAATAAACTTGAAATATTGAAGGGGAGAGAAGTGCAGGTGTAATGTCATGTTTACTTTATTCAATTTTTTCCCCAGAATATTAAGCAATGTAATTTTTTTAATTTTATCATTATTATTATATATTTTATTTTATTTATATTATTGAATATCTTTAATTGATATATATTTTTAAAATAATTTATTAATAATTAAATTGATATTAGTATTAATAATAATTAATATTATGAAAACTATGATTATTTTTATTTACTTTTTTATTACCTTAGGTATACACAAATTTGGATTATTAAAAAACGATTCAGCTTCTCATCAAATATAATAAAAGGCACAATCATGCAGTTATTTTTATTGTTTTTATTTGTTTTTCATTTTTGTGTATAACTGAATTTCTGTAATTTTATATTTTTATTTGAAAATGAATATAAAGAAAATTATTTTTATTTGTATTATAATTTTAATTAGTTAATGCATACACAAATTAAAAATTATTAAAACGATTCAGCTTGTCACCAAAACAATTGAAAGACTCAATCATTCTTTTAATTTTACTTCTTTGTTTTTATTTTTATTCTATATTTGAATTTCTTAAATGTTTATATTTTTATTTGAAAATTAATATTAAGAAAATTCAGATTTTTTATTTTTTTATTTCCATTTTAAATTATTTTTTAATTACTTTAAGTATGCACAAATTTGGATTATTAAAAACAATTCAGCTGGTCACCAAAAATATTCAAAGGCTTAATCATGCAATTATTTTATTGTTTTTTTATTTGTTTTTCATAAACATTTCCTTTCATTTAATATTATTATATGACCTATCACCCCTCAGCATACATCAAAGGAGGCTGGATCCTCCGCAAGGCCTGGAAAATGTACAACAAATGTTACAGCGACATCAGCCAACTGCAGGAAGCCTGCCGCCGACGCTCCCCCGACCAGCAGGGGGCGCTGACCTCCGAACAGGACAATCACAACACCTCAGCCGAGAGCGGCGGCCGGGTAACAGAAGAGGTTCTGGACCGTCTGAAGGGTTCTGTCAGCTTCGGCTACGGGCTCTTTCACTTGTGCATTTCGATGGTGCCTCCACACCTGCTCAAGATCGTCAACCTGCTGGGCTTCCCTGGAGACCGTCACCAAGGTCTCTCCTCCTTAGCATACGCCAGCGAGAGCAAAGATATGAAGGCGCCACTTGCCACGTAAGACAATGTTTTTTTTGCACCTTAGCAATTTCAATCCAGCCTTTGACATGATTCTCTCATTAGTGTATACTTAAAGGGGTCATATGATGCGATTTCAATTTTTCCTTTCTCTTTGGAGTGTTACAAGCTCTTGGTGCATAAAGAAGATCTGTAAAGTTGCATAGACTAAAGTCTCAACTCCAAAGAGATATTCTTTTTAAAAGTTCAGAGTCAGCCACACCTACCTAAAACGGCTCGTTCTAACATGCCCCCACATGTCTACATCACTATGTGGGAAGTTTTGCATAACGCCGCCCAAATGTTCATGCAAAGAAAGAAGGAGTAACTTTTATTCTCACTGTAGTATTGTTGCCGGTGCCGCCATGTCCTGAAGACGCTGTGTGCTTCGTTGTGAAAGCGAAACTACTTTGTTTGGTCTTCCAAAAGAGGACGATATCCGCTTCGTCATGCCTGGAGCTGATCTGTGCTGGTCGCTGAGGGAATACATCAACTTAGTGCTGTGGATCGCCGGATCGGCTTTCACCGTGGACGAAGCGGAGTCCAGCCCGGGGTCGTCACATGTGATTGCCGCTCCTTAGTCAGATCTGCCGGGCGTGCTGTTCTTGACCCCGCCGCCTCTGCTCACTCTAGCCCGGCCTCAGCTCACGCTAAGCCGGGGCTTTCGCTCATGCTAGGCCGCTGTGTTTTTCGTTTTGAAAGCGAAACTACTTTGTTTGGTCTTCCAAAAGAGGACCAGTTGTATTTACAACACTGTTCCAGAACAGTTATTTCTCTGATCACAAATGCAGACAGGGTTTATGTTTACGCGGCACGATGCAATGCAACGCAACGCGTAAAAAGACAGCATAAGTCATTATAATCAGTAATTATGTCCCCACTGGATGCAACAAATGTCTCGTTTGTAATGGGTTTTAATGTTTTTGTCTCTTCACTCCGGCCGGGACACAGCATTAACAGTATGATGAGGGGCGTAACATTTCCGTCACACGCTTGAGGTATTCGGCCAATCACAACGCACTGGATAGCTGGCCAATCACAGCACACCTCGCTTTTTCAGACCGATGAGCTTTGTAAAAATTGACGCATTTCAAAAAGGCGGGGCATAGAGGAGAAACAATAATGTACAGTATGTGGAAAATAATGTGTTTTTTTTTTACTTTAAACCGAATAAACATATTTCATTATACCAAATACACAAAATAATGTTCTTTTTAGCAGCATCATATGACCCCTTTAATTATGAGCATTTGCAGAAATACACCAGAAGAAAATCCCTCACTCCTGATATACTGTGCAGTGACGTGAATTCGTGTGCGAGCACATGCTGGTGGTTTCACACTGGGGTTACATAATTGATGGCATCTGAAAGGTCACAATTAGAGATAAAGGGCATTAGATGGAAAGGTCATGTGAGCATGTGCAAGCAAATGCTACCACAGACTCATCCGTTACTATTGAACATGTCATAAAGAATTGAACAAGTAAACTATTATGAGAAAATGTGAATTTTGCTCAGCTAGCTCAGTCAGTAGAGCTACAGACTTTAAATCACACGGTTGATTTGAATCCAGTGGTGAGCGGGAATTTTTCATATGCAAAACTGTCCAGCTGTCAAGTTGGTTTAGACTAAAGCTGATTTAGACTAACCCCTGATCATTAGACTTTTAAAATGGCCAAAAAAAGTATACTGATGTTGAAGATGGAATTTGAGCCATATTTGGAGAGGTCTAGCTTGGAGCAACCATCCATAACACTTCAGCAACCACCAAAAACATCCTAGCAACAGCCTAGCAACCACCCGTAACAATCTAGCAATCACATAGCAACATCCTGGCAGCCATCCATAACACCCTAGCATTATTTGCAGCAAGACCATCCATAACACCTTATCAACAGCAGCTAATGTCCCAGTAACCATCCACAAGACCCAATCACTATGGCAGCGAGACCATCCATAACACCTTATCAACCACCTAGCAAGAGCCTAACAACCACCCACAATATCCTAGCAACGGTCTGGCAACCACCCAGAACAATTTAGCAACCATTCACAACACCCTAGCATTATAGGCAACGAGACCATCCATAACACCTTATCAACTGCCTAGCAACCACCCAAGATATTCTAGCAAGAGCCAAACAATCTAGTACCACATAGCAATGCTCTGGAATCCATCTACAAGAGTGTAGCAACCACTCAAAGCATCCTAGCAACAGCTTAGCAACCACCTGAACAATCTCACTACCACATAGCAGTGCCCTGGAAACCACCCACAAACCCTATCATTATGGCAGCAAAACCATTCATAACACCTTACTATACATTTAGCAACACTCTAGCAACCAACTAGAACACCTTAGTAACAGCCTAGCAACCACCCAGAACATTCTAACAAGAGCCGAACAATCTAGTACCACATAGCAATGCCCTGGAAACCATCCACAAGAGCGCAGCAACCACCCAAAGCATCCTAGCAACAGCTTAGCAACCACCTGAACAATCTATCTACCACATAGCAATGCCCTGGAAACCATCCACAAGAGCGCAGCAACCACCCAAAGCATCCTAGCAACAGCTTAGCAACCACCTGAACAATCTATCTACCACATAGCAATGCCCTGGAAACCATCCACAAGAGCGCAGCAACCACCCAAAGCATCCTAGCAACAGCTTAGCAACCACCTGAACAATCTATCTACCACATAGCAATGCCCTGGAAACCATCCACAAGAGCGCAGCAACCACCCAAAGCATCCTAGCAACAGCTTAGCAACCACCTGAACAATCTATCTACCACATAGCAATGCCCTGGAAACCATCCACAAGAGCGCAGCAACCACCCAAAGCATCCTAGCAACAGCTTAGCAACCACCTGAACAATCTATCTACCACATAGCAATGCCCTGGAAACCATCCACAAGAGCGCAGCAACCACCCAAAGCATCCTAGCAACAGCTTAGCAACCACCTGAACAATCTATCTACCACATAGCAATGCCCTGGAAACCATCCACAAGAGCGCAGCAACCACCCAAAGCATCCTAGCAACAGCTTAGCAACCACCTGAACAATCTATCTACCACATAGCAATGCCCTGGAAACCATCCACAAGAGCGCAGCAACCACCCAAAGCATCCTAGCAACAGCTTAGCAACCACCTGAACAATCTATCTACCACATAGCAATGCCCTGGAAACCATCCACAAGAGCGCAGCAACCACCCAAAGCATCCTAGCAACAGCTTAGCAACCACCTGAACAATCTATCTACCACATAGCAATGCCCTGGAAACCATCCACAACACCCTAGCATTATGGCAGCAAGATAACACCTTAGTATACATTTCGCAACAGTCTAGCAACCAACCAGAACACCTTAGCAACAGCCTAGCGACCACCCAGAACACTCTAGCATTATAGCGAATTTAGTGCAGTCAAACATCATTCATATTTCCTTCATAAAATGTAAATATCTAGTTAATTGTGATCATTTCTAAGATTTTTTTTTTTAACTGCATAGTGCGTAACCGCTCTTTCAGCTCTCTTTAGACACATTGTTCTCGGTAGTTGATTGCCAGAGGCTGACAGATTGCGCAGCAGCTCTAATAATAGAGATGAATTTAAGCACACTTAATCCAGCCCGGGGCAAAACCCTCCCAATTTGTTCTTCAGTTGAATAGATGCTGCTTTTTTCTAATCGGTGCTGCTGTAGCACTTTGTACACAAGCAAATATATTCAAATTTATAACCAAACACAATTAATAAACATCCATACTGTGTTTTTAAATGGATCGGTGCATTCTTTTCTCTCGTTTTCTCTCTCAGTTTGGCTCTTTTGTGGTACCACACTGTGGTGCAGCCCTTCTTTGCTCTGGATGGCTCTGACTCGCAAGCTGGGCTCCTGGAAGCCAAAGCCATTCTGCAGAAGAAGGCGATGGTTTACCCAAACTCCTCTCTCTTCATCTTCTTTAAGGGACGGGTGCAGAGATTAGAGGTGGGTATGCAGGGATTTCACATTACGGTATCACATCGACAGTGACATGAAACCAGAGCAGATGCTTGGTGCTTGATAATCAACTGCCATGATTAAATCATTAAAATAATAGTGTGGTTTATGCTTCATTGATATTTAATTACTATGCAACCACCACAATGACTTTCTTCATGTAGTGGGTGTGTTGGATGCAATGGAAGGCATCCAAAGCCAACCATTAATATCACTCATCTCCAATACAAATAATACACTGACTACAATGTGAAATTTACATTACACTAGAGAAAAACAAACGTCCTTCTAATACAGCATGATAGTGTTTCATGTGTCCCGACTTAAATTGGGGCTCAGGAACATGAGGGAGGGGGAGGGGAAGGGGGGGGGGGGGGGGGGGGGGGGGTGGATATGGGTTGATCGAAAAGTGGGCAAATATATCAGTTCCGGGGGGGGGAGACGGACGAAATCAAATTATTATAATTATTAATTAATTATTAAAAAAAATGATAAACACAGTGTTATACTCAAATGTTACAATATATTCTAAACAATATTTATTGCAATATTTATTATAATTTATTTGTTTTATATGTGTGTATATACACACACACAGTCATAGAATTAACATTTTTATTATAGTGTTATAATGAAATATTACAGTAATATAAACAATATTTGTTGCAATATAGCTAATATTTATTATATTGTATTTTATACATGTATACAATTTTTTATTATAATGTATATGTAATAGTTTATATATGAACTAAAATGTGAACTAATAATGATTATTAGAAAATACTAATATAAATATATGTAAAATGTAAAAAATGAATCAACTATTAGACAATATGTAATAAATGAATAAAAGTGTTTATAAATGTAATATTTTACATAAGCATAAATAAGAATTCATGTAAATTATTTGTATATTATAAATAACAAAAAATACAAATAAAAATGGAATATCTGTATCAAATTTTTCATATATATATATATATATATATATATAATGGATTTTTCTTTTTCTGTTTCAGTGCCAAATCAACAGTGCGCTGGCGTCATTTCAGGATGCTCTGGAATTTGCCTCCGACCAAAGAGAAATCCAACACGTGTGCCTCTATGAAATTGGTACAGATCTGAACTCGTCTTACTTTTCAGCAGCAACACAATCAGTGCTCGTGTAGTACAGTCTTCTATCAAATATTTTTGTCCAATTTGGTTGAAGTTTGGCCTGGCATTTAGAGCAACGTATGCAGTTACTCGTATGCACAACCTTTCCAACCAATTTATAATTCAGTGTTTCATTTGCTCTGGATTTGCAGGCTGGTGCAGCATGATAGAGATGAACTTTGAAGATGCTTACAGGTCGTTTGAGCGGCTGAAGAATGAATCCCGATGGTCACAGTGTTACTATGCTTACCTCACTGGAGGTCCGGTTATGTTCTCTGTCAAACTCTTTGTCAAATGTAAAATTACTGTTTTTAATAAAAACCTTTTACATCTCAACCCAAAGTATGTCAGGGGGCTTCTGGTGATCTAGAGGGAGCCAAAGCTGTTTTCCAAGATGTCCAGAAGCTTTTTAAACGCAAGAACAATCAGATTGAGCAGTTTGCACTGAAAAGAGTGAGTTAGCTAATAATAAATTTTTTGCAGTTATGATTTCACATTTTAAATTAAACTCATGATTTCTATAATATATACATAGAAATTTGTAGTTATAATATACAATAATTATGCTTATGGAAATTTAGAATTTCCATACTATTTTTATTTATCTGTTAATTATTAGTATTAATAAATTACTTTTTTTTTTTTTACACTTGTAGTATTGTGTTCAAGTTTGTTTCGCTATGATTTTAACTCCTAACTATAGTTATTGTAATATAATGAATGCAATACATGCAATATAATACAAAATAGTATTATAAAAAATATAATATAGATATATGTTACATTATATATATATATATATATATATATATATATATATATATCTATCATACATACCATACATATTTATGGTTATTAGAATTCATAATACAAAAATAATTAATCATTTTATATTAATGATAAAAAAGTTTTATTTTAAATGTACATAACTATGAATTACAGAGAAATTTGTAATTTTGAATATAAAAATTATGATATTAATAATGTAAATATATTACATTTCTAAACCTGTTTATTTATTTTATTATTATTTTTATTTTGAAATGTATCATACATTTTCTTCTGCTTTGTTTGTGTCACTAGGCAGAGAGGCTGAGGAAAGTCTCCCTTACGCGAGAGCTGTGCATTCTGGGTGTTGTGGAGGTGCTATACTTATGGAAAGCTCTTCCAAACTGCTCTTCCTCCAAACTCCAGCTTATGAACCAAGGTAAGAGCGGCGGGATGAAAAGCGTCCTGTCAGTCAGCTCTGAGCGCCTCTGTTCCCTCATGATGACCCTGATCTTGATGCTGTATTCAGTGCTACAGGGGCTGGATGAGCAGTCGAGCCTGGGCCTAAAACACCTGCTGCTTGGTGCTATTCAGAAATGTCTTGGGAATATTAAAGACGCTGTTCAGGTTTGTTCAGTCTCATCAAGTTTGTTGTAACGCATTATGTATGCAAACTAAAGTCATTTACCTATACATATCTTAAAGGTACAGTAACGGTGGAAAATGTTGCATAATAGTTTCCAAGTACATTTTACAAATAGATTTCAGAGCATAAATGCTACAAAATGCAGCACTTGTTGGCAATTTGATCTTGTTTATCCTCTCAGATACTGTGTTTAATACTGATTCTGTGTGATTGTGTTCACAGTCGTTCCAGCTGGCAGCCCAGGATGAATACGGCCGTCTGAATAACAGCTATGTGCAGCCCTATTCCTGCTATGAGCTGGGCTGCGTGTTACTGGCTAAACCGGAGGTGAAGCGCATTCCAAATCCCTTTATTCTCAATTTGAAGGCACTGTATTGAAATATTTATGCATTCATCAGCTTCCAGTCGACTCCATTTGAATCCCAACTCTTTACGTTCAGTTCAAACAGTCTTTTAGGCTGCATTTACACCAGATCTGGATGCCCAATTCAGACTTTTTGACCCGCTTACATGTTCTTTTAAAAGTATGCATTTACACTACACAGGCTTAACTTGACGTGGCTCAATGCATTAGACAGTGATATTAAAAGACCCAACTCTGCACACACTATTAATAAAGCATACTTTGTATTGAAAAGCAGATGAGATTTCACCCGAATGAATCGAGAGTCTCCACATCCGTTAGCGATAGATCGAAACGCTGATAACAGCGGCAACGAGCACTCGGCATGATTTTAAAAGCAACGCATTTCAGCGCCAGATCGCCTCTTATTTAACTCAAACGAACAAAATGAATACCCTGCTAGTCAACTAGAGAGGTTTCATTTGTAATAGATATATCTGTACTCTGAGATGTTTCAAAACTATTTGTCATCCAACTGGCATTGACAGGGGAATATCTGATCGGTCCGCTTACATTCATATCAGATTTATTTCCACATATGAATGAGGCCTGAAACCGATCTGAGTATATCGGAATCCGTGTGCTTTTCTTACACGGTCGTGGGCCATATCTGATCTGTGCCAAAATCAGAATTGGGTCACTTGAACCATGCAGTGTAAAAGCGGCCTTAGAATACATTTGCATTGAAGTGTATTATACAATTTATTCTGAAAATACCATTTCAATGATTAACAAATAGAATTACCAAACTTTGCTCTATAAATTATGTAACATTTCTTCTGGAGCCAGTGGTATTATTATTGTTGTTGTTGTTATTATTATTAATAATAATCACACCAACACCACATGAATCTCAAAGTGTGGTGCTTATATATTCTCTCTAATTTTATTAAATTAAATGGAGATTGATATTGAATATTTGTGTTTGTTGTATAAACATATATTTTTGTATTTCTAAGTACACGTAATATTGTGCATTGTAATTTATAATATACAAATAGTGAATTACAGTGGGTACGGAAAGTATTCAGACCCCCTTAAATGTTTCACTCTTTGTTATATTGCAGCCATTTGCTAAAATCATTTAAGTTAATTTTTTTTCCTCATTAATGTACACACAGCACCCAATATTGACAGAAAAACACAGAATTGTTGACATTTTTGCAGATTTATTAAAAAAGAAAAACTGAAATATCACATGGTCCTAAGTATTCAGACCCTTTGCTGTGACACTCATATATTTAACTCAGGTGCTGTCCATTTCTTCTGATCATCCTTGAGATGGTTCTACACCTTCATTTGAGTCCAGCTGTGTGTGATTATACTGATTTAATATTGTGCATTGTAATTTATAATATACAAATAGTGAATTACAGTGGGTACGGAAAGTATTTAGACCCCCTTAAATGTTTCACTCTTTGTTATATTGCAGCCATTTGCTAAAATCATTTAAGTTAATTTTTTTTCCTCATTAATGTACACAC